AATTTATACCATCTCCAACTGCCGTTTGGTATCTCCATTTAGATGCTAATGGACATCTCAAATTTTAAAAAGCCAAAACGGAATGCTGGATTCCCCCTTTTCTCTGCCCTAACATGCTCTTCCCCTAGTATTCCGAGCCGAGAAAATGCTACCACCCAGTTGCTCAAGCCAAATACCGAGGACTCCTCCTCCCGAGCCTTTTACCACTCGCATGCGTTCCACCAGCTCCACCTTCAATGCCCACTACTCTTTGGTCCAGATCACTCCTTACCACTTCAGTTCAGGTTTTGTTCAGACACTTCTGAATGGCCTCCCAGTTTCCTTTTCATCTATCCACCAAACAGCAGTTTGAATGAAATTTTTAAACCATAATTCAGATCACATCATGCCCCTACTTAGAACTCTAATGTTGGCTCCCTGCTGTATTTAGAATTTAATCCACACCCCTTAATCTGTCATACAGGGCCCTAAGTGGTCTGGCTCCCTACCTACCTCCAAAATGCATGCTGTACCCCTCTCCAGCCAAGTTTGTTCTGGCCAGCTCATTTCCACCTCAAGTCTTTTGCACATTCCGTTGACTGTACCTGGAATAATCTTTCCCCAGGCTGTCTGTGGCTGGCTCCTTCCCATCTGACACAGGAAAATCTACCTTCACTCCACTTTCCGGTATAAAATAGCACTCCACCAAGCTTGAGCCTGTTGCGTTTTCTTCACTCTGTTTGCCACTACCTGAAAATATTTCCTTTATTTTTAATCTTTGTGTTTACCTCTGTAACTTACCTAGAATATAAATTCCCCCAGAGCAGGAACCTTGTCTGTCTTGTGCAGTGCTATGTCCCCAGCACCTACCTGCTGCTAAGGAAATGCTTAAAGAAGAGTGAATGAAGCAGTAAAAATCTAGCACTATCTAGCTAATTTAAATGCTGCTGCTTCTTTGGTCTTAGGACTAAAAAGGGGAATAAACTCAATGATTTTGATGGAGAAAGCTCAAAATGCTTTTTTACATGCCTGTTTAAATGGGCCTTCCTAATGAGGGGCTTGCCACGGGTTGCACAGAGCTGGTCTGTCTATATGTATGTCTTTCTAAAGCAGTTTTTAAGGCCCTGAAATATGCAGCTTTAAAGCTCAAGAGTATGGACAGCCTCCTCTATTCCTCTTTTTATTTTCTTAAATTAGCTACTTACCCTTGTGTTTTCCTGGTTGGGAGACCTATCCTTAAATATGGAGACTTCTGCTTCTCCATGGAAACAGCCAAGACCAATGATTGAGTCGATCCCTTTGGAGACCCACCAGCCCAGTTACAGCTAAGTTCTCCACCCTCAGTTGCTGGTGTGTTTTTGACCAAGCTTTTAGGCCCCTCCCAGAGGACCATAAAATAGTCCGCAGTTTCTGGGTTTGCAGCGCTGCTCATTAGATTATGAGCTACACCTGTCCTTCTTTCCATTCTCAGGAAATAGCCCTGTTCTCTTAAAGGAGCTACAAAGAGGCTTTAGTTGATTATTCAGGAAGCCCACCTCACCCCGCCCATGAATCCAACCCAAAGCCAGGGCTTAGAAACTACATTTTCTCAGCTGCCATGACTAATGCTTCTGTGAGGACACTGTGACGGGCAGCGGCAGGGGTGCGGGGAGGGAAGAGGAGGGGCGCAGTACTTGGGAGACTGTGACTGTTGTTTCCCGTTTCTGCTCTATCTCTGGCAATACCGAAGAGCTTAGTTGCCATCCATAGGGAAAGCTTTGGAAGCCTTTATTTAACTACTACTTTGGGGGCACTTGGGCGGCTCAGTCGTTAAGCGTCTGCCTTCGGCTCAGGTCACGATCCCAGGGTCCTGGGATGGAGCCGCGCCTCGGGCTCCCTGCTTCCTGCTGCTTCCTCTGCCTCTGCCACGCGCCGCCCCCCACCCCACTTGTGCTTGTGTTCTCTGTCAAATAAATAAAAATAAAAATAAATAAAAAACCTTTAACTACATACTTTGGCCCCAAATGGATCTAGTGGCAATTGCTCAATTTTCTTAAAGAAAAGCTAATGGCTTATTAATATCAGCTACCACAGTGATGGTTCTGAATACCCTCCTACCTAAGGGAAGATACTCACGTCTAGGTCAGGATTTCTAATCTGATTTTAGAAAAATATATAGAAATCATATAAGCATTTTCTTTTTACTTTTATGAGCAAAAGAGTTTCAGTAAAGTTTCCATGCCCAAAACATTCAGGTTGCTCTGTCCTGAATCCATAAAGTGGATGAGTTAAGGGCAGGAATTACCAGTGAATAATGCCTCAAAGTTACCTGATTTTTGAAAGACTACTACACATCACTGGTTAGTCCTGTGCAATTTTTAAGGTTCTTATTTATCCCCATTTATTTATAGAACAGTAGAAATTGTTAAGCAAGTATACTAGCTGGTCTTATTTCTAGAAGATAAATTCATTCAATACACATTTATTGTAAATGTAAACTATTCCCAATCCTGAACCAGAACACGCACAGACTGTGTCAGGGCAGAGTTCCCTGGGGGCACAGACCCAATGCTGGGCCTGAGGCTCGGAGAGTAACCAGTGAGGGAGCGTGTACACAGAGGGCTGCCAACCTCACAGAGGCAATAAGAGCAGCCTTTCCGGGTCCTCTCATTACTGGTATCCCTAAATTTCCTCTTTCAGCACTTCATCTCCTAGGCCAAAAGTTATCAACCTCTTCCCCAAACCCCCCACCCCAATCCTTTTCTGACTCATTCTATTTATTCTACCGAAGACATTTAACTTCACATCACACTCCTATGGGTATTTATAGGAGAAGCTGTAGGTTATCTAGGAGATGGTGAGGAGTCTCTGTGCAGTAGAGATTTTAATATGAAGAATGTCTTTCTCTATTTGCTGGTGCCCTTGGGGTAGTTTACTCATAACCTCTCTGCTCAAACCTCTCTGCCTTCTAAGATGCCCCTGCGCCCCATGGGAAACACACACATCCTTGTCACCCCGAAGGCTGATCAGTCAGTCTGCTGCCTAAGCCAATGTCCAACCAAGGAAGGGACTACTGTCCCTGTCTTGCAGCACCCCTCCTGGCTCTAGGAGCCACTCTCTTGGAGCGCCCCCTCCCTGCCTGGGAGAACCTGTGTGCCAGAAGAAAGGCACGCCCTGGCCTTCTCACAAAGTCACCAGGGGTGACTACTCATTCTTCCCCTTGTCCTCTAATGGGGGGGGGTTCCGCCTACCATTTGTTGGAGGCTCCCTGTGGAAACTAGTGGACGTAGCACCACTTGTCCTCAGCCTGGGACAGCAGGGAGAACCCCATTCACCATCCTGCAATAGGACTTTCCCCTTAAGAATTCTGCCCCCTGTCTCCCACTTAATAAATGCAAATATGTGTTATTGTTTAAATACTTCTAACTTAGATTTTTAAAGTAAGTCCTTCATGAGCTTCTATGTTTTAACTCATTAGTAACAGAATCACTTACGGTGCCACCTCACCGGATTTGAGAATTTCAAAGACACAGGGAAGTAGTTGCCAGGTCTATAATATTAAAATATAAACTAACAGATAAAGTGGTAAGAGGGGTACAAAACACTTAAGTATATTAAAATAGCTGTTTGCCACTTAAAAATATTAAAACTACCATTAGTACCTTTTACCATGGCCATTATTTCATCAAAGGGCATTTTAGCAAAAAAGGAAGAACAATCTCAGAATAAAATGGTACTTCTTTATATCTCAAGAAAAACAGGGTCAGTCTCTGAAAACTAAGGTTTTGGCATTATGGAGAAATAATGAATTATTTCCATCTTCCTCATTTCTCTGTTAACCAGTATAAACCTCATACAAGCAGTGTTCTGAGGACAGGTCTTTGAGAGCGAGGACTAGACCCTTCAGTTCTCCGTCCTCAGACCAAGGCTCAACTGGGAGCTTTCCTTGAAACACTGACAGTCATCCCAGAGCATCCCAAGCATCACACAGGAGATCAGGAGGCCACGAGACCCTGTCCCAGATCAACCCAGGGTCACCCTGCAATTCCCAGAATGACCTCGTACAAGAACGATGTGCTCCTTGAGGGCCTGCCCTTGCATGTCAGACAAGTGTGTGTCTTTCCTTTGACCTTTGGCTGTCAAGCATCAAAGTTGCCCAATAAACAATGTGAGGGCTTATCCTCAGATTTAATTCATCTCGAATCCTACTTAGAACTAAAAAGTCAGTCTGAACAGTTTCCTAACAAACAGCTGTATCCAGCCTTTGGAGCCTTGATTTTGGATATAGGAGCAGGGAGGATAGAAAGGGAATGCTTTTACTTCAGCCCTGACACGAACGCCCACCTTTTCATTTGTCAGTACAATGTTGACAGTTGATTTCACGATGGAAAAGACTTCCGATTTATAATCAGACTCCAGCCAAACCATCCATTCCTGGGCCTTTTAAAACGATCTTGTAAATTACAGCAGCAGGGAGGAGAGAGTGAGCTGGCTCTGTTTAAACAGCAAAAACCAGGGGGAAATAAAGGTTTCAGAAAGGACCTGGGCTTCCTTCAGTGGCAGTTAGGAGAAATATGGATTAAATACTTTTTATAACTAGCAGCTGTAATTATCAGGGAAATCAGAGGCCATGTGATCTCTGACATAGCTGTATGAGCCATTTTCATGCTGCACAGTCCACTGAGGGAAAGAAGAGAATTTTATCCTCCCCAAAACTACAATTTTATATTGGTAAATCAAGCATAAAATTGGTAGTTGAAATGCTTCCAAGAGTCTTTGTTTAGAAATACCTTTATTCATCTATATATTATCTCAGAGTCTAGCTTTTCTAACCACTACCATTCCAGAAGCTAGAGTGTTGTTTGCCACGTTACTATGACTGTCTTCAGAATGGACTGTTACCGAGTGCTTGTTGAGTGCTGTTAAAAATGGTGAGACCATAACTCAGCCTGATGAAACCATTACTGGGGTTAAATGACATTATTGGACTCAGACTCTTATTTGCCTTTCAGTAATGTCCAATGTTTGTCTCTTTAATTCAGGCATCATATCAACGTTTCTTCACGTCCACCCTTTTGGAGCCAATATAGAGTATCTCTGGTCATACATGCAGCAGCTGGACTCCAAGGTACATTCTTTTTCTCCAGGGGACTTGCATTGCTAAGATTTAGCATGTTGATTGCTGGCTGTAGGTGGACCCGGCGTGAGCTGCATCGGGGATATAATGGCGTTTGGAGATTTATCAGTACTTCTCCACAAGGACCTCCGTTTTGGGCAGATAGCTGTCTTCTTTTCACTTGCTTTTGTCTTTATAGAAAGAAGAGCAGTTATCTAAAATGACAGTGACTTTCAGCAGATGCCAAATTACTCTGAAAAGCATATGAGGGACTGAAAATTACAGGTTGGACTGAAAGTTCCCCAAAGAGGGAGAAATCAGGTCAGGGTGGCTAATGGGGCATTGTCCGAAGACCATATTCTCACAGGATTCTATGGTAAGGACTCCACCTGATAGAGGGAAAATCACCTCAAATAACATAAAGATCTGATACGACTCTCGAGAAAATGTATTATTAATGGTTGTTTTTCAGCATTATTCTCTAAATGGAAAAAATGACCGCAAAGTTATTCTCAGCGGTGCCCCCCAAGGGAGACACCCAGAGTCAGGATGTCACTCTTCATTTCTCCCGGGCTCAGTTTGCCTTGTCTGCAAATTAGCTATGCTCCTAACCCACTGCAGTATTTGCATTCTAAAAGAGAAAGGACAAAAAGAGCTCAAGGTGTGTATCAATTTATGTATCAAAATCCAGTGAACAATGAGAGGGGCCCTTCTTGAAATAAAGTCATGTCATTAAGCAGCACTGCTGGGGAAGCCCTGCAAAGGGATGGACACAGAAGCAGAGAACTGAAGCCGACCGCTGGGTAGCTTGTTAGATGTCCTGCTGGGGGGGAATGGAAATAAGCTCTTGCATAGAGCGCAGCGAAGTACATGAAATGTGTAGGACCAGGCCCCCGGCCCGTAGTTCTGTGACCCTGACTGCACACATACAAACCATTCTAAATCTTCAGTGGCCAGTATCAATTAAATAACTACAGTGTGCTCTCAATTTGAGTCAAATGATCTTACCGATTTATGATCCCACAACTGCTTAACCTTTCTAATGGGTCTTATACTTCCCCTCTGAGAGAATCATCTGGAACAAAAAAGTATTTTTCAGTCACAGAGATTCATGCCCTTTTCTTCTCTTGCAGCTGGTAATAGGGTAGACCAAAACAGAGTGAGAGGAAATGAGGAGATTATAAGATTCTGGAAGTTCGCGCTCATGTTATTGTCTTCTTTGTGGCCTCCAATCACATGGACAGGGAGGGATAGAAAATGCTTATGTTAACTCAGATAAAATGAGAAGGATGAGCTATACAATGTTACTTTGTTGAAATTAAGCTTCCTTAAAGGGCTTCTTTGCTTTTTACCCTCACCAATTTCATTCTTATAATATTAACCCTACCTTTGCCTGAAAGATGAAATACTGCTTGCACCAGTGTGGCGTGGCATAGAATGAGTCCTCAAGAAATTATTCCTATCATTGCTATTATCCTTCCCTTGTACTGTTGTTTGCTTTCTTTCCCCTCCTGGAAATCCCAAGCGGGAAGCTTTTGTTGGGAAGCAGTTGTTTTAGTACATACGTGAGTTTGTGTGTGTGTGTGTGTGTGTGTGTGTGTGTGTGTGTGTTGGGGGGGCGGTAAAATCACCTGGTGGGGGTGAAAATGGATTATCGTGTTCTATTCTTACCCTAAGGACAGAGTGTCCATCATCCATTTGTTCAGGCAAAATTTGTGTGGTCTCCCTCAGTAGTCTCTGAGGAGAGAATTCACACACCTGGTCCCTGGCCATAGGTGATCGGCCTTTCTGGAAGGGATTCAGTTAAAGGAAATTCCATTTTATCTCAGACTGGTACTTTTATTTTAGAAGATAATGAAGAAAGCATTTCCTTCACAGAGGAAATACACAGGGTCTTCCCCAGACAGCCCTCCATCTCCTGAATGAAATGCTCAGTAGAGCTGTCAAATTGTTTCCTCATCCCTGAAGTAAAAATTATATAGGAAAAGTGCTCTAAAACTCCTAGGTGCCAGCAATTAGACCAAATATTCTTTCTATCCCAGTGAGGCTGAAAGGATATTTAGACTTTTTAATCCAAAGACCAAATTCTTGCTCTACACTGGAATTCCATATCCTCAGGGCTTTAAGCAGAAAACAAAATAATGAGAGGTTTGCCCTTTAAGTACCCACTAGGGCCTTGTCCTTGTATCAGCTGCCAGAAGGCTCTGAATCCTGGAGCCACCAGCAGCCCACTGATGCTAAGGCTCTCCCGGTGCACCTGCCTCTGGTTAATCAGAAGGAGGTGGGTGTCACCAGGCCCCCCACCAAGTTTTGGTTAATGTTGCACAAAGGCTATGGATTCAGTTTAGCCTCCATGACACAGAGGGTTCGCTGATTCTAGTAGGATGGGTTTTTTAAAATTCCGGTTAGAACAGCACAGTTTGACATCAGACAACATCATCATTACGACAACTGTAAAATAACATTTAGATTCTGCCTACCCCAGTGCTGACGACAGCAAGGAAAGCAGGCTCAATCAATCCAGCCTGTAATGGAGCTGATTTTATTAGGATTTCCCCAAAGGCCACATATGAGTATAAGAATGATTAGAAATGGAAGGAGAGCCAGGAATTAATTTAAATTATGCTGGGCATGTGAATTGCACATGGCTCCTAAAACTGTAGAGCCCAGCAATAGGCCGTTTTCCAGTTAAATATTATTCCTGCTGTTGATAATGATATTTGCATATTTTTCTCTTCTCAGCCTCTCCTAAACCACCACCTCTCATTCACTTAGCCCTCTTGTAGCAGAGGGTGATTATATGACCACATCACAAAGGTTCACTCAGAGGAAGGCAGGAGAAGGGTGGTGGGGTGAGATGGCTTCCTAAAACTTTGCCGAATCAAAAACCGTGCCCTGGGTGCAGGCAGGTAAGCTCTTCAAAACAGGCAGCACTATACTGAAATGGTTTCCAATCAATACAGAGAACCCCCCCAGGTCAGCCCAGAGCCCTTCAAGCCCACTCCCTGACCCTAAGCAGCAAGAAAGTCACATTGAGTTGAGCATTAGCAGATGAGGATTTCCTGCCTTACAGTCAAGAGGAGAGATTCTTCTGCTCTTCCCCCACTTTATGTATTCTTTAGGACTTAAGTTCTCCCAGGTGTGTCTGGCTGCCCCCTCTACGTATGTATAGCCTCCTCCCAAGGCCCACCAAGTAGATTTGATTCTGAAAACCAGATTCAACATAATATGGCCGCTGATACTGGAGGATTTACAAAGACCTGCCATTTTGACATGATACCACTGTTCACTGACGGGCCTGGGTGCTCATAGACATGTGTGTGTACATCTCCCACCAGAAGGGCAAGCCATTTGCATGTCTGTACTAAAAGCATACCACTGGAAACACAAAATTAAAATATCTGGTCACTTCCAAGGAGATTCAAATTGGCCATAACTGGAGAGCATTCTTTCCTAGACTATAGTTAGGCAGTTAAGGGTAGATGAAATGTTTTCAGTGGTGTTTGTAAGGCTCCCCACCTCCGAAAAATCTTCATTATTATGTATATTCCAGTGTTCTCCTAAATCACCACCTGTCATAGTATGTTAATGAGTAAGTGAGTTTTCTGTTGCTTAGGCTATAATGAGTGTGTTTTTTAGATATGACAACACCTCTGGAAAGCACATGATAAATGAAGCATTGAGCGTAACAATACTTCCATTTGGCTACATAAAGAATAAAAAGGAAGTTGCTTACACACAGCAAGAGAAACTGACAGGGTTACCAGGGACCCAGTGAACACTGGGATAATTCACTACTTTTCATGAACCCAGCACTGTCCTAGGGACCAGGGAAGAACAGGGATGGCTAGAGCACAGAAGAAATCTAAGAAAGAACACTACTCTCAAAAAGTTTGTAGTCTAATTCAGGAAATGCCAGAATATTTATGAAAGACCTGGATAATCAGACATGAACTAATGAAGTGCTATACCAGGCAGGCAGATCTTTAGTGAGACAGAAGTTGGAAAAGGGTGATGGTCATGTGAGCCCATGTTTACCAGGAGGTAGCTCTGAGTCTGAGTGTGTGCTCCTTCCCACACCTCCCTCTGGGGCACTGTCGTCAGCGCTGCCTCACCTCCCCACTTCTCCCCTCCCTTCTCTCCCTCTCTCATTTTCCATCCAGATCCTTCTTTTTCTCCTTCTAATTCTTTCCTTCTATTTATCCTCTTCCTCCTTCCCTCCCTCCCTGTTCCTCTTCTTTCTAGTTCGTTCCTTCGGTCTTCCTATAATTCCTCCACTTATGTCTAGCTTCTTTCTTTATTCCTCCCTCCCTCCCTTCCCTTCTTTCCCCATCCATATTCCGCATTTCTCTCTGCAAAAGTTTATTTAAAGCAAGGTGTCTGTGTGCTGATGCCATGTGTTGCCCAGGGATATGAAGAACGAACAAGATTTAAATGTGCACTAAAAGCCAACAGTTGATCCTATGGAAGGAAATTTGGTTTTGCAATTGGCTTCTCTGACTCTCCAGCCTTGGCAAAGCCTATGCCAGGTCTCTTCAGTGCCTCAAACAAGAACCCCTCATCACTTGGCTTCTCTTGCCTGACCGATATGGGACATGGAGCCAACCATCCCCATAATAAAATTGATTTATGTCTGCTGTGTCAATTTATATACATGCTTAGAGGCCTGGCAAGGAGGCAGTGGGCTTGGGCTGGAGTCAGCAAATCAGAGAATAAATCAAGCAGATCTTACAAATTACCTCTGCAGTGTTACCAGCACACAAGCCCCTTGGTTACACGGAGACTTTATCCCTTCTCATCTTTTTTTTTTTTCTTTCTTAATTAGAACAAATCAATCCTTTCTAAAAGAATAGATGTCAGACTTAGAAAATGTTAAACAAAACAGGGGTGGCCAGGGATCCACTGACAACATCAAAGATTGAAAATACACAGACCACCCATTTCTTGAAACAACAGCCAGCTGAGTAAGCGGGTAATAAAAGCATCACATCTATGACAATCTTCCCCACTTTCTAGAGCAACAAATACGTGGTGTACGGTAAATGAGATTTTACAGGCACAGCACATGTCTCTAACCTAGATAGCAATGCTGCACAGAAGTCTCTTAACCACATGTATTAGATTCTGCTGACAGCACCCGTGTGCTGTGAAAGCAGGGCTGGATCTGGCATCGAAAGCCCTGCACCGAGTTCTAGCCCCTCCACGCACCCGCTGGGCAAGCACACCCTTCCCTGTCCCCCAGTGGCTTCCATCGGGGACAGACAGGTGCTCAGAGAGAAGCCCTGACCTCAGAATGGATTTGGGGAAGGGAACCCTGCACAGCTGATGACAGAAGGGGTACATCTCACTCTGAGCTCGGCCAGTAAGGTCTGGCTGCTTTGTTTTATGTGAGCACTCCAGGACTCTTACAGTTCTCAAAATCAAGAAATTATCAGTAGGAAGATAAAGGATATTGCCAAGGCAAAATTACAAGAGCTGACTATTTAGGAGGAGGAGAAAACAGAATTAAAGTAAATGAAAATATTTGTAAAGTAAAAACTCTTTGGCCATAGGGTAAAAAAAAAAAAAAAAAAAAGAGGACAAATTCAATTCTCTTTGTTTTGAAAATCCCAAAATGTGATATATCATCAAAGGTATTTTGTCAGGGTAGAGAAAGTTTTAAAAATCATCAAACTAACTTGAAAGCAATTTCTTCTTGATCTTTCTTCCGGCATGAGATACAAAACATCTTCAAGGAAATGCTTTAGAATTCATCTTAGAGCCTTATTAAATGGAGATTTCAGACAGGACTTCATTTGAGGTGGTCTGTTCTATAATTGTGCCACATCCCTGTCCACATTCAGGTGGTTACCTTGCACTACCAACGGCAACTTACTAGCATTAACTACTTTTGAGGACACTCATTTCCATTATACTAATTTCTGGCTCTGTCAAAATCCGAGGAATGGTTAATTGGTCATCCAAACTAATCATAAAAATTTCAAATCCCAGTCTCACTACTGTGGAACCTTGGGTGACTTATTTACCATCTTTGTGCCCCAGTTTTACCCTCTGTAACATGGGTTTTTATGGATTACGTTGTGTATTAAATGACTTACTATATGAACAGTACTCACGACAGTGGCACACAGCAAGTGCTACTGAGTGCTGGTTGCCATTTGTTTTGTGCTTTATTTTAAGATTTTTTTTTTCTTTAAGATTTTACTTATTTATTTGACAGAGAGAGACACAGCGAGAGAGGGAACACAAGCAGGGGGAGTGGGAGAGGGAGAAGCAGGCTTCCCGCAGAGCAGGGAGCCTGATGCGGAGCTTGATCCCAGGACCCTGGGACCCTGACCTGAGCCGAAGGCAGACGCTTACCAACTGAGCCCCCCAGGAGCCCCCGTTTTGTTGCTTTAAAGTGCAGGATGGGCTTTAAAGTGCAGTGAGGACTCAGGAAGGAGTGGCTATCTCTCTCCTCCAGCATGCTACTCCAGCTTCCTCTGTGGTTCAAGCCTAGTCTCGGGTCAAAAGACATCATGGAAAACAAGATTCCCCATGGTTTGCTTGCTGTTTTGGTGAAGGGTTGCTGTAGGGGCACCCAAGCATTAGCACTGGAATGTGTATGAGCTGGTCGAGTTGGGAATTCTCAGTTTGTTATTGATGTTGACGTCACTCTAAAGTCCTAGTCATCACAGACCTGCCCTCCAGTACACAGACCCCGTCCCCCAACAGGGAGACAGTGACCAAGAGCACTACTCCCAGTCCTCACTCCACAGTCCCCAGCCCCGTGGCATGTGGCATCAGTGTTCAAAAATAAGGCCACAGAGTCTGGATCTGCAGCCCAGCTCCACACTTAGTGCCTGGGTTACCTAATCTGTCTGGACCTCAGTTTCCTCATTTGTAAACTACTCCCTGTCTTGTGAGAGTATAGTGAGAACTAACGAAAGTGTGTGCAAACGTCTGCCAAGGACAAGGTCTTCCAGAACTCCGAGCCGTCACACCTCTTTGTATCGGGGCTGCTGGGTGGCGCCACCTGCCCTGACCCCAGCTGGTCTCCTGTGCAGATAGGTGTCACCTTCACACTAGACCTTTGTTTTACCCTCAAGAATTTAGCTTCTCTCTCTCCTTCCTAAAGAACACTACAAAGCTCCTTTCCCTGCTTTTCCAAGGGAGCTGATGGTTATCCTGGAAACAAGCCTGGGATGGGCTGGCTGTTAAGCTGGGGGTCTGGCAGCTTCTCTGTGGCTCGGCCTGATCGGGGGCAGGATGGCTTCTCTCAGGAGTATCACCTGAATTGACTGGAGACTGGAGCCCACCGCAGACAGCCTGTGCTGTCCTCCTCCAAAGGAAAGGAGGCGAAGACGATAACTTGGCTTCAGAAAACTGCCTTCTGGACCAAGTGAAAACTGGGTTTGACCACACACTTTTCTGTATTTGTTCGCTTTGGCTTAGGGGCACAGAGCTTGACTCCCCTATCACAGAAAGTTTGGTAACAGAGCGTCGTATTCCGTCAGCGGTTGCCTAGTATGTATAGAGAGAGAAAGCATCTCGTGCCAGCCACCGTGTTACATTTTATGTATAATCCTCATGATTAGGCTGAGAGATTCCTTCTATTATACACATGAAGAAACTGAGAATTACAGCTCTTAAATGAGCTGCCCATGGTTACACAGGTTGGCCTAACCCAGATTAAAATCTAAGCCTGTCTGATTTAAAATCCCATTCTTAACCCAAATATGCCTGATCTTAAGAATTACCTGGTGATTATCAAAAATAGAGTATATGAGCTACACCCCAGATCAGCTGAATCAGTCCGCAGAGAAGCGGCTAGGGAATCTGAGTTTTTTAACAGGAACCCCAGGTGACTGATATTTCAAAAGAAAGCACTACACTCCTGGTTTTTCACCCACGGCTTGCTGAAATCACGCAGAGCACGGAAAGCACACCAGTGCCTAGTTCCCAGGCACAAGCGGTGGGTTCTTTCCCAGTTCTGACTTTGAAAAGGCACTTAACTCTCTGTAGCTCACTCTGTTTTCTTAGCTATAAAACGAAAATGCATCCTAACATTTTTACCCCATGTATCTCACAGGAGTGTTGTGACAATGGAATTAGGATGCTGGTGAAGGCATTCTGCACAGTGCTCATTGAAATGAAATGTTTCAAAATCACATGAACCTTTTAATCATCTGTTGAATAGGCTTTTGTGGGCTAACCTGGCAATCTAATAATCCTTTTAACATGGATTTGTGGGAAAATGCATTCAGATTTCAAAATAATTCACACGAAAATTTTAGAATGCAATTTATTTCAACTTTCAGGACTGCCTCGAAAGGTTTTTGTTTTTGGTTTTTTTGGAATATTGAATATATGTGAATTGATACTGAATATGTGAAATCTTTTCCATGTGAACATGACATGAAAAGCTGATTTGACTTCTTGGTCTATTTGGTCTCTCTTTAAAATAAATGTTAAATAAGTTTAACATTTAAATGTTAAATGGAAAGTGTAGACTCTAAAATGGTATCTATCCAGTGATTGTACCATGAAAAATAATAATAGGTCTGATTCATTAAACCTTTCTATGTACCAAATCTATGCTAAGCTAGTAGTCTTCATACATCCTTATTACACTTTGTTATTCCCATTTGCTGAGGATTAGAGAGACTAATTATCTTGGCTGGAGTCATTTAGCTCATAGCAATGTAGATACAGGATTCAAACAAAAATGTTAGCCCCCCTGGTTCCAGGATCTTAGCCACCTTGCTATATGAGATCCCCACGCAAGCACATGGACTAAGAAACAAAGACAGGAAAATGAGAACAACGGCTGTGTTAGAGCAGAAGGATTATGGTTGATTTGTCCTTTATTTAAGGTAAAATGAATTATTGGTATAAAAATGTATGTAATAAAGAAAAATAGGTAGAAGAAAAAAAAAACTGCATTAAAAAGCTACCGGGGGGGGGGGGGGGTGGCTCAATCAGTTAAGCGTCTGCCTTTGGCTGGGGTCATAACCACAGGGTCCTGGGATTGAGTCCTGTGTTGAGCTCCCTGCTCAGTGGAGAGCCTGCTTCTCCCTCTGTTCCCCGCTCAGTGCTCTCTCTTGCTATCTCTGTCTCTCTCTCTCAAATAAGTAGATAAAATCTTTAAAAAAAAATTTTTTTTTAATAAAAAAAAAATAAAAAACTACCTGGAAGGGTGCCTGGCTGGCTCAGTCAGAAAAGCATGCAACTCTTGATCTCAGGGTCCTGAGTTTGAGCCCCATATGCGGTGTAGAGATTACTTAAACAAATAAAACTTTAAAAAAAATAAAAAAAAAAAAAAACTACCTGGATTTTAAGAATGGATGTTGAGATTTTCATGGTTGTAGGTTCTGGGTTTTCATTTCGGACTAAACCTTTATGGTCTTCTGGTCTCTGTGAAAATTAAAGAAAGAGAAGTTAGGGTGGCCAGAAATCTGCCCATATGCCCTTTGGCCCTCCCTGAGTTAGATAAAAGCACTGCCCTTAGTCGAAGAGGATGAGGGCACCAGGAGTGGTGATGAACTTGCGCTCAGCCCTCTTAAAACCCATTCTCACCTCCTTTTATATCAAGGTGGGGAGTGCTGTTCACGCAAGGCACTACCCAGTAGGCTAGCCATCCAAAGGAAGGTGAGCCTGGGATTCGCGCTCCTCTGTCTCCTGCCTGCCCAGCCCCACCAACCGCTAGAGACCAGGACAGTCGCTTCCAGTGCTTGACCAGCGCTCCTCTCAGCACATTACTTGAGAGTCAAGTAATGTCATTTATCTCCCTGGGAAAGTGCATCCTTGCCCAACCCCTTGCCTCCTTGCGGATGAGTCTTGTTCCCAAAAGTGACTTTTCTTCCTTTCTAACAGATATCTGCAAACGAAATCGAAATGCTTCTGATGAGGCTGCCACGCATGTTTAAACAGGAATTCACAGGCGTGGGAGCAACGTTGGAAAAAAGGTGGAAGCTGTGTGCCTTTGAAGGAATTAAAACAACTTAACTGTGAAGAGCCAGCAAATCTCTGGAAACGAAACCGCCTGACAGGGCCAGGGCTGTGCAGCGTGAGCACTGGAAGCTGGGGTTGGTCCGGCCTGGGGCCCCTGTGGAGCCATCGGGGCCTGACTTCAGTTACATCTGTGGCGTCCTCCTGTGAGTGGAAATGTGATTGTGTACCAGTTCCCTAAAACAAAGCTTCATACTGTGACAGATCTGTTTCCTATGAACACCCAACGATTCCACAGTCATAATGATGGCAAAATCTTAAAATATGCTACATTTGAGAATAGCTCACCCAGCAAAATATTTAAAGTTAATGACGGTGTAGCAATGGTTGTCGCTAGGCTACAGAGTTGTATATGTAATGTATAGCTGAAATCATTCAATGACATTTTCCTGAAAGTCTTTCTGTTTTAGTAAAAAACAAAAATAAAAACAAAAATAAAAATAAAAAATAATTTTACAGTGAGGAAAAATCATACCAAAAGAAAACTTGAATATGTGTCTGAACATTTATTGTATTTTGTAAATTAAGTTATATGTTATTCCAGGGACTTTTTGCCTTATTGAAGAGGCAGAAAAGATTGGACTCCTTGGACTCCTTGAGAATGCTTTATCAAGAATATTATTTTTCTAATGTAACAATTCTCCATCATAAGTTCTTTTAACATGGACTGCATAACGATTTTCATAAAATGTAAATAAAGGAAAAGCTAGTGCTACTGTCTTGTACTTGGTATGTAATATTCAGGTTTATGCATCAAAATAAACATTCAGTAAATATTCCTGTTATAAATTTTATAGCAAAGATATTAATTTTTTTCAATAAATATGACTTCTGCCATAAAGGTTTTGCAAATTATTCTTTGATATACCTCACTTCACCTTTAAGTATTTTTCACATTATTCAGTCCCATCTCATATCCCACCATTTTTAAATGATTGTCTACATGAAGGACATTGAGACAAAATATAATTTCAAACAGAAATCTATAAAAACTAAAGTGGGAAGTACCAAGAAGAGGAGATTATACAGCATTAGGGTATATATATCATTTTAAAATACCAACACCTCGATCTAAATACAGTCAACATAAATATTACCTTTGTTTTTTGTCTGCATAGGTAAGTACAAAATAGCCAATTAGTTACTATTAATTCCTGGGTTTATTTATTTGTACATATGCTGGAAAACATGCAAGTTAGAAAAGGAATTAAAGAATTCACACTTGAGCCAACAATTTAGTCAGAATTTGGGCTTTCACTTTCTTTTAATTACAAGTAGGATAGAACTTTAAACTATATCTCCTTCCTGCTTTCTTACATAAGAATCACAAAAAAGACAAGTATTCAAGATATTAATTTTAAATGAAACATTTTTTAGGAAGACTGCTGAACAGTGAATCTTCTTCGAAATTCTGAAAAGATGTTTATAATTTCCTATATAATAGGAAATTATTGTCTTCAGGATCTTTTTATTGAGCCCTGATAAATTAAGGTACTTATTCATGCCTCCCATAAATATCTGCATGTTTTATTCAGGCTCAGTGCTAATCCTGCAAACATGGAGATGAATAAGTAAAGACCCTGTCTTTAATGGGCTCAGAGTTCAATAGGAAAAAGACGTTTTCCCCCAAGTTTCTATATAATGTGAGCCAAGGGACAGGAAAGATAGAACAAGGGTGCTATGGAATTCAAACTAAATGTCAATGTCACACTCAGTACTGAAACACTAGAGGCCTTTCCAACACCATCTTATCAGTTGCCACCACCATCATCATCCTGACATATTTGTCTCTAGGTCAGGAGACACAAATAAGGATCCAACCGTCAGAAAGGAGGTGACCTCATTTACAAATAATGTCATCATCAAACAGAAAACCTAAGAGGTTCGCCTGAAGAATAATTAGAAGAAAAGGATTTCCGTAAACTGGCTAAAGACAGAAAGTCTAATAGGGACACAAGGTACCACAATCTAGACTATTTCTAATGGAAAGCATGGGAGAGGTTTGCAAAGTACATTCACACTTCAAGTATTGCCCATAGCCACCTTAGCAGAAGGATACATTTCACTGAGTAAAACCCTAACTCAGAGCTCCCATGAGGAAAAGGAATGAGATGGACCTTAGATTAGATCTGACGAGAAAACACCGTATCCTAAACACACGGTTCTGAGCCTGGAATGGCAACGTACAGGACCGAAATGGTTAACACAGCTTCCAAAATATTTGAATAATTCCCAGAGATAAGTTTCTGCACCAGGAGAATCTATTTTGGCTGTGGTGTTTTCATTGATACTTGAAATTCATTATATTAATTGTCTAGAAATATATGATTTATGTATTTTATATTTATATTTTAGCTTCAATTACATGAATAACATATTTGCAGGAAAAAATTTTTAAATTATTTCACAGACATTCAGATTCAGAAGGCACCCCAGGGATCACCTAGGGCCATCTGGAGTCTACATATGTGTGTCACCCCATTCTCTTGAATCCTCAAGACAATCCTACATAAAGACACTCTTATCCCCATTTGTCACACAAGGAGAATGAGGCTCAGCCGTTCTAATTTGGCCAAATCTACACAGTAAATGTTGATTATAGGATTTTAACCCATGACTGACTGACTCCAAACATGTTCTTCTCACTCTGTCATGTTTCTAGTTCAATGTATCCCCCCCCTCCCAGGAGCCCAGTGCCCGTCCAGTGCTTCTGCATCACTGCTGTTGCTCTCATTTTTCTCTGCTATCCCATGTACATGAGCATGGCTGTGACGGCTCTAGCCTTTCTCTTCCAAATCTACTAGTAACAAATCATGGACTCTTAGAATTAGCAGAACATTGCAAGTTTGGAGATCCTCGTAACCTGGCCCCAATGGGCCATTCGGGCTTGCTTTTTTGCCGCTTCCCTGAATAGGACTAAGTATTTGCTGCCTTTCTGCTTTTGCTCATATTTGTCTATCCAAATAAAATGACCTTACTCACATCTACTTACCACAATTCTACAGAGCCTTAAGGGGAAAATGCAAACACACCCCTCCAAAAAAGCTTTGCTCCATCCTCCCCGAAGTCACTTGTCCAGCCTCCACACAGCAATCCCACACTGTTTTGTTTTGTTTTTAGTTTTTTTATGAACATATAATGTATTATATTTTTCAGGGGTACAGGTCTGTGGTTCATCAGTCTTACGCAATTCGCAGCGATCACCATAGCACATACCCTCCCCAATGTCCATCACCCAGCCAACCTACCCATCCCACCCCCCCCCCAGCGACTCCAGCAACCATCAGTTTGTCTCCTGAGATTAAGAGTCTCTTAATGGTTTGTCTCCCTCTCTGGTTTCATCTTGTTTCATTTTTCCCTCCCTTCCCCTATGATCCTCTATCTTGTTTCTCAAATTCCTCATACAAGTGAGATCATATGATACTTATCTTTCTCTGATTGACTTATTCTGCTTAGCATAATACCCTCTAGTTCTATCCACGTCGTTGCAAATGGCAAGATCTCATTCCTTTTGATGGCTGCATAATATTCCATTGTGTATATCTACCACATCTTCTTCATACATTCATCTGTTGGTGGACATCTAGCCTCATTCCATAGTTTGGCTATTGTGGACATTGCTGCTATAAACATCGAGGTGCCTGTGCCCCTTCAGATCAATACATTTGTATCTTTGGGATAAATACCCAGTAGTGCGATTGCTGGATCGTATGGTAGCTCTATTTTCAACTGTTTGAGGAACCTCCATACTGTTTTCCAGAGTGGCTACACCAGCTTGCATTCCCACCAACAGTGTAGGAGGGTTCCCCTTTCTCCACATCCCCGCCAACATCTGTCCTTTCCTGACTTGTTAATTTTAGCCATTCTGACTGGTGTGAGGTGGTATCTCATTGAGGTTTTGATTTGGATTTCCCTGATGCCGAGCGATGTTGAGCACTTTTTCATGTGTCTGCTGGCCATTTGGATGTCTTCTTTGGAAAAATGTCTGTTCATGTCTTCTGCCCATTTCTTGATTGGATTATTTGTTCTTTGGGTGTTGAGTTTGATAAGTTCTTTATAGATTTTGGATACTAGCCCTTTATCTGATATGTCGTTTGCAAATATTTTCTCCCATTCTGTCGGTTGTCTTTTGGTTTTGTGGACTGTTTCTTTTGCTGTGCAAAAGCTTTTTATCTTGATGAAATCCCAATAGTTCATTTTTGCCCTTGCTTCCCTTGCCTTTGGCGATGTTTCTAGGAAGAAGTTCCTGTGGCTGAGGTCGAAGAGGCTGCTGCCTGTGTTCTCCTTTAGGATTTTGATGGATTCCTGTCTCACATTTAGGTCTTTCAACCATTTGGAGTCTATTTTTGTGTGCGGTGTAAGGAAATGGTCCAGTTTCATTCTTCTGCATGTGGCTGTCCAATGTTCCCAACACCATTTGTTGAAGAGACTGTCTTTTTGCCATTGGACATTCTTTCCTGCTTTGTCGAAGGTGAGTTGACCATAGAGTTGAGGGTCCATTTCTGGGCTCTCTATTCTGTTCCATTGATCCATGTGTCTGTTTTTGTGCCAGTACCATACTGTCTTGATGATGACAGCTTTGTAATAGAGCTTGAGTCCAGAATTGTGATGCTGCCAGCTTTGCTTTTCCTTTTCAAGATTCCTCTGGCTATTCGGGGTTCTTTTCTGGTTCCATACAAATTTTAGGATTATTTGTTCCATTTCTTTGAAAAAAGTTGATGGTATTTTGATAGGGATTGCATTAAATGTGTAGAGTGCTCTAGGTAGCATGGACATTTCACAATATTTCTTCTTCCAATCCATGAGCATGGAACGTTTTTCCATTTCTTTGTGTCTTCCTCAATTTTTTTCATGAGTATTCTACAGTTTTCTGAGTACAGATCCTTTGCCTCTTTGGTTAGATTTATTCCTAGGTATTTTATGATTTGGGGTGCAACTGTAAATGGGATCGACTCCTTCATTTCTCTTTCTTCTGTCTTGTTTGTGTATAGAAATGCAACTGATATCTGTGCATTGATTTTAAATCCTGCCACTTTACTGAATTCCCGTCATGAGTTCTAGCAGTTTTGGGGTGGAGTCTTTTGGGTTTTCCACATAGAGTATCATATCACCTGCAAAGAGTGAGAGTTTGACTTCTTCTTTGCTGATTCGGATGCCTTTTCTTTCTTTTTGTTGTCTCATTTCTGAGGCTAGGACTTCTAGTACTATGTTGAATAGCAGTGGTGATAATGGGCATCCCTGCTACATTCCTGACCTTAGGGCAAAAGCTCTCAGTTTTTCCCCATTGAGAATGATATTCACTGTGGGTTTTTCATAGATGGCTTTTATGATACTGACGTATGTACCCTCTATCCCTATACTCTGAAGAGTTTTAGTCAAGAAAGGATGCTGTTCTTTGTCAAATGCTTTTTCTGCAT